TGATTTGTTGTTTTTGATCTACAGTTTTCAACATTAGAGATTCAAGTGCCTGGCCGTCCTTTTAAAGAAAGGCAGGCTGGGTGCGGTGGCTCAAGCCTATAATCCCAGCACTTTGGGAGGCCAAGGCAGGAAGATCACTTGAGCCCAGGAGTTCAAGACCAGCCTGGGCAACATGGTGAAACCTCATCTCTACCAAAAATATAAAAATTAACCTGGCATGGTGGTGTATACCTGTAGTCTCAGCTACTTGAGAGGCTGAGGTGGCAGAATGGTTTGATCCTGGGAGGCAGAAGTTGTAGTGAGCTGAGATCATACCCGTGTACTCCAGCCTGGGTGACCGCCAGACCCTGTATCCTGCCCCCCCCCACACCAAAAAAAAGGGCAATAAAAAGCAAATAAATGCTAATTATAAGCTCTCTGCCTGGCTGGGTGCGGTGGCTCACGCCTGTAATCCCAGCACTTTGGGAGGCCGAGGGAGGCAGATCACCTGAAATCAGGAGTTTGGGACTAGCCTGGCCAACATGGCAAAACCCCATGTCTACTAAAAATACAAAAATTAGCCAGGCGTGGTGGCGCATGCCTGTAATCCCAGCTACTCAGGAGGCTGAGACAGGAGAATTGCTTGAACCCAGGAGGCGGAGCTTGCAGTGAGCTGAGATCATACCACTGCACTCCAGCCTGGGTGACAGAGTGAGACTCCATCTCAAAAAAAAGGGCATAGAGCTTATCAACTGGTATCTAAGTCTCTCTTTTTAGGCAGTCAGTTTTTAAAGACCCTCCAAACTCCTACCTTGAGAGTATGAGCCTATTATACTTATCAGAGTGAGTTGAGGGAAGGGATCTGGGAAGTGTCTCACTATGCAGCATGTAAACTTTTCCTTTTCCAGTAAACCGTTACTCTCAGATGTAGCTGGTGCCCCCAAGTCCAGATTCTCTCATTCAGCATCACTAGGAAACAAACCTTTAGTTGTGGGGTGGTAGAAGGCAAGATGGGTAGCAAATATCTGGTTGTGAATGGTGAGGGAGGAAATTTGGAATCTAGTTGTTGTTTATATATATATTGACTTTCAGTTGACGCTACTTTCAGTTCCATCTGAACTTCTACCTTCAGAACTACCTGATGCCTGCAATTTCTGAGGCTTTCCAGGGTTTCGTGGTTAGAATGGGCTTGCTTCCAGGTTTCCTGTACAGCTGCCTTAGATTTCAGCTTTCTTGAACTTGCTAAGTCGATGTGATTCCTCTACTTTTCAGCTTCCAGCAGTTTGTTGCTCTCATCTGCCCTCCCTTTCTTCATCTATTGAAGTTTTTACTTTATCCTTTCACTTTCATTATAGTGGCATTTTGTAAGGGATTGGAGTTAAACTGGTCCATTCAGTTCCCCCACTTTCACAGGATGTCCGTCCTAATCCAACTTCTTCGCTTTCTTCTTTCTCCCAGAATTGGCTCACAAGTATCCTTCCATTTCCATCACATCTTTCTCCTAATCAGGAGTTTTTCTCCTCTCAGACCTGCAGAGTAGACCACTTCTCTTATGCTTGTTTCTAATGAAGCATAAAGGCTTCCTGAGGGTCTTCACGGGGTTTTTAGTTACTAACAAAACATAGACAGGGATTAAAATAAACATGGGAAAAGTTCCAGTCTTGAGAGCTTGCTAGGTGAAATAGGAATTCCTTTTGTTCTTAAATGTCTTTTTTGCCTACAAGGGGTACATCTTAGTTCTAATGTCACAGCATCCTTAGGGTGTTGCTTTGCCAGCCAGAAACCTCTGTGGCCTGCAGCACCTTCTGCCTGAGTGTTGCTTGCACCCACTGGGCTTGTTCTGCCCACTTGGCCTGGCAGCCTGTTCTCGGCTCCTGCTACTGGCCTGGATCCCACACCTGCCAAGAAAGAGCCAGGCACGGAGCAGTGAGGGATATATGGATGAGCAAGCACGGGGTCCAGCCACTGCCCACAGCCAGGCACACTGGCTGCTGCGGTGAGGTGGGAAGCTCTATGTGCTGGCACAGGTGCCGGCTCCCTGAAAGGCTGAAGCTGGACCAGATGTACGGCACGTGGTTTCCGCTGTGGGTGCCTACGTCTGAACGAGAGGAATGCCATGGTGCCTAGAATCTTGGAGATGCTAGGAACTGCAGAGCCCCAAAAAGGGTGTCACAGCCCTGGCTCAGGGAGCCTGTGGGTCTGGACTCCCGCAAAGAGCCACAGCTCTTCTCTCCTTCTCGTTGCCTGCAGTGTGGCAAGCGAGGGGGTGTGTTTCAGCCCTGTATGTGTTACAGCTCTTTTAGTCCCACCACTCAGCAGGTCCCGAGTTCTTGTCCTACATCCGGACTGAGGTACACAGACAACTGGAGGGTGAGAGAGGTGGAAAGGAGCTTCACTGAGTGACAAGACAGTTTTCAGGAGACCTGGAGTTGGTAGCTCCTATCCACAGGCAGGTCGTCCCATTGTTTGTGTAGCCCTCAGCAGAGAGACCTGGAATGGTAGCTCCTATCTGCAGGCAAGTCATCCTGCCATCTGCCCAAGTCTGGCTGAGTCTGGAGGTTTTATGGGCTTCAGAGGGGAGTAAGTGTGTGCTGATTGGTCCCTGGGCAGCCATGGGTGGGCCCAGAAAAAC